TCATTTTTCTTACTTTATAGAGATATATAGGTATATCACTAGGATCAGAAAATCTGTTGCTACGTTAACTGGTTGTAATATCTAATACTTTTGGGTATATCACTCTGCTTGGAGGCTATCATCAGAATATATTGATGCAAGTGTAAGCTGATATGTCTGGACTTATAGACTGTCCCACAACTTCGCATTCTTGTGAAACTTCAGCTACATGGCTTTTGAAAATCCTTTTATATCAAAGAAAACAGTTTTTTGTTCCAATGGGAATATAAAGCCTCCATTACATAGATTGTGAATATCTATTTTCTGGGTGAAATACATTTTCAGTTTTTCTGACAAGGCATTTTGACATGCTTAGATGGAATGTTGTGTGGAATTGGCCATCACTTAACCAGTGCTAAACTCTTAACTAAATCAATATCACAACCTATATTTTTATCAATATCAGTATGAGTTACAACAGGCCATCTGAACTAATGTTTCCCAGTTATCTTAGAAATCTGCCTGATGTATTTCCTTTTATCTATGTGTGTATTTTGACTGAGAATTACAGGACTCCAACTGTTCCTACTTGCTAAGTTGTATTTATAGTAAATGAGCATTGGTCTCTGTATACATGTGTGTCATCAATGAATGATTGGCTTCAAAGTATGAAAAATTTAGATGATTTTGTTTTTAATTACTTCATTTGCATATATGTTTGCATAGGATTAATTTTATGTGTGTGTATGTAAAATGAAAAAAAAAAGTTATGTTGTATCATAGCGAATTAAGATTAATGTTTGACACTGTAAATAATGATCTACCATTTTGCATTTTAATCAGTTGGTTTGGTTCCCTTTGCCTGGGTGTAAATAGTATGTCAATACTTATGATGGTAATTGTAGACCATAATCTGTTTGTACAGCTTCTCCCTTCAGTGATATTCCTAGTTTATAGGACTTGCTGTAAGTTAGGCAGTACAACGGACCATCCAGTTTTAATTAATTCAGGAAGATGTTTGTTTCCTGGTGTGACCTTAAGCTTCCTTCAGAATTAGACCATACATTGGATTGTCTAGTTTAAACCAAGTCATTAAGATCTTAATTAAGTTGCTGTGTCAAATACGAGTTTACAAATTGTATGTATTGCTGTTCATGATGTTCGTAGAATAATTTAATTTTCTCAGTGCCCGATGTGAAAATGAAATAACCTACACAGTCCAATAAGAAATAGTGTCGGATGTGAGAAGTCAAGAATCACATGTACAGTGCAATATAGGTCATACACCAGCACAGTCAGAAATAAATAGCACTCAAAGAAGCAATCAGATGACCAAATATAGAAAATTCTGTTTACAAAATAGACAACGTCGGCAAATGGAGATCTGTGTTAGCGTGACTATGTAATTCATAGGGTTGTATTAACAGGTGAGATTTACACCATTAAGCTGACATTTGCGAGCACCCACTATCACCAACCATCATCAGCTGTAGGCAGGATCATGAACTCGGCCAATTTTAAAATGTCTGACTTGATAATGAAGATGTCTAAACCCTTGACAAACCTGATTTTATGAGTTACCCTAGAAAACGCCAGTCTATAGAGATATTCACAGTGCTATTACCTATGATAATAGTAGTCGCACTGTGACAATGGCATATCAATGTCATTCTTAGAATTGGCATCCAAAAATACGTCCAAAATTTATGTAATGTTAAATCATAGGGTTTACAACTCATTTCAGAACAAAAAGAAAGACTTAGATTTCTGAAGATCCTGTGGTGGAATTAGATATTAATCCTTAAATAATGATCAAGTTGACTTCTAATTGAGACTTTTTTAGCTCTTACAATAGGTTTTTTGAGTTTTTGAATTTTGTATGTGATATTGGTCAGGTTAATGTTAGAGAGTGAAGAAGGAGAAACAGTACTGTGTAAAAGTCACCTCAAGTAACACAAACACAGATATCACTTTAGATTTTTACTTTTGGCATTAATCACATTGTTGTTGTATTGACACCAAATTAATAAATTCAGATATAGGATGGACCACAGGGTCTTGATACCCATGATCTGAGGTCAGACAAATAAATCCAGATATAGGATGGACCACATGGTCATGATCTGAGGTCAGACAGATAAATCCAGATATAGAATGGACCTCAGGGTCTTGATACCCTTGATTTGAGGTCAGACAGATAAATCCAGATATAGGATAAACCACAGGGTCTTGATAGCTATGATCTGAGGTCAGACAGATAAATCCAGATATAGAATGGACCTCAGGGTCATGATCTGAGGTCAGACAGATAAATCCAGATATAGGATGAACCACAGGGTCTTGATAGCTATGATCTGAGGTCAGACAGATAAATCCAGATATAGGATGAACCACAGGGTCTTGATAGTCATGATCTGAGGTCAGACAGATAAATCCAGATATAGGATGGACCACAGGGTCTTGATTTGAGGTCAGACAGATAAATCCAGATATAGGATGAACCACAGGGTCTTGATAGCTATGATCTGAGGTCAGACAGATAAATCCAGATATAGAATGGACCTCAGGGTCATGATCTGAGGTCAGACAGATAAATCCAGATATAGGATGAACCACATATAATCTGGCATTTCCTTTGGCTTTTAACCTGAATTTCAATGAACATTGCTATGATTAGGGGTCACACCTACAAAGTACTCCTCCCTGTGATTACATTGTGTACACCACAAGCCTAAAAGACTTTGATGATGTAATATTATCATTTGGGATACTTTTGTATATAGTATTGTAAGTAATATTTGTGGAGGGGGGATTTAATTTCTCTATATTTGTGCTCAGTAAAAATAGTCCAAATTGAGTAGCCAGCAAACATTTAATTGGGATCAAAATATAAGGAAATCTATGTTATTTACTGTATATGTGGATACCAATATATAGATATGTACAAGGTTTGATTACTGTGAACTAGTCCACACAGGGATGTGGCCCCACAAAATTAAACTACTTTACACTATCGAAACATTGTTTTTTATGATAGATGATTGTAACAAGTGTTTCAAACTTAAATATGTATAATTAATCTACTAAATATGACATATTGTGATAGGGCCACATGTCTATGGCAGTTCACTGTAGAAACAACTCAATAGATAGACAGTCAAGTCCTGAGGTGAACCGTGACATGAGGCATTATCTGAATATTGTTACCGGTGTTATTTTATGAGTTGTGACAGTTAACGTTTCTGTGTTCCGAGACGATTAGCCGACTCATCAGTAGCTGTACACAGGTATAGGTGTGACCATTTACCTGTGATAATTAGCACGGTCGTATTTTATCACCTTACAGGTGAACTTGTCCTGTCAGAATATTTAACCTCCTGACTGCTGATCAGCAATACAAGTTTTCAGGGAATAATAATCACCTGGAGTGTCTTATCCTTACTTCTATGCTTGTATAAACTTTCATTTCGATTAAATTGTACAAATATTCAAGTGGTGACAAATTTAAAAGAATTTAATGTCAGATGATATAATAGGGTTTTTTGAATGGAGGGATACAACTCCAACACCCAAATTTAATTATAGGACAATAAGGTAGCATATATCCTCAACCATGATGGAAATTCCTCTAAACTTCTACTTATGAATCAGGAGTAGACTTAATAAAATGAACCATGAGTTTTGGTTCAGGGAATGGTTACAGTTAGTCGTTGATGTGGACTTGAGATGTAAGATTTCTGTGTAAGACTGCTACAGCTCAGAACCATTAGCATGAAGATAGCTCTTGTGTTAGGCATTGGCTGATGGTTATCATGGTATCACTGGAGAGGTTTCTCAAGTTCTATCACATAGATCTAGTATCATAGTGCCACAATAGGCTTTTAACATCTCCCTGTCAGGAATTAAAAAAAAACACAAAGATACATGATACATTCATTCAGATGTTTTAAAAAATATTAACAATAGTTGATTTTTGTTTTTAATATTTTATTTTTAGAATGATATAAATCATTTTATAATGTGACTATATATTTAATGCTTTACTTCTATTAGTTGGGTGACCAATAGTTACTTTGTTGGCAAGCTTAAGTGTGGAACGACCAATTAGCAGAAACACATTATGATATTAGAATCTATGAGGCAGACTTTGTACTATGGCGGTTTGTAGCCATCCTTCTAATATCGGGCAGACAAATGTTAATGTAGCATTTTATTACAAGGTCTATAAAACAGATCTCACTTAATGTTGGATCTGATCACAGACAGGCATTAGGGTTACAGAGAGGACATTTCATTGATACCGCTGGTGCTAAACTCAAGTATAGAATTATTGTAAAGTATATATAACATGGTCTGTGTATCTAGTGCTGTTACATTCTCATTTAGCTACCCATATACAGGTGAATATTGGGATTTTTTAACTTCACCAGAAAAACGCATCTGCTAGTTACATGTATATTGAATCTATAGAACAGAGAGGTTTTTAAAATAAAAATCATAAAACTTACACTGTCGTATCATTTGATGTGAAAAAAGGAAACAAGGAAAAGAGTTGATGAAGGATAAAAGTGAATAAATATATATCTAATGATTCTGGACAATGAACATTTCACTGAGAGGTTCAGGGTCACTATTAGATTTTAAAGATAAGCACTAGCGTATGGTAAAAAATGATATATGTAAATGTAAAATTTAAGAAAATTTAATAATTCTTGGAATCTAATGAAATTTTGTGAGAAGTAACAACTGAATAGAGTGAAGATCATCCACAATCAGACAGATATTTGTTATAGTCAGTAAAGAAAGGTGGTTATATATACAAAGGTCATGTGTAAGGGTCAAGGACAATTTATTCAATACTTGATTTTATAGTGTCTGTTAATTTATAGACTCTGTTGCTCTTTTATTTGTGAAGTCAGAAAAATTCTTGTACTAAACTACTTACTGTTATAAAGTTACCATGGGGCACATGAGATTCGGAAACATAAGAAATCTTCTCACATTAAGACTGGAGAACTTACCGTAGATTTCCACCATCATTCCGAGGGGCATGACCAGCAGTGAAACTAGGAGGTCAGCGATGGCCAAAGACATGAGGAAATAGTTGGTCATATTTTGTAGGCGTCTATCCCAGATTACAGCCAGACACACAAGCAGGTTACCCATGGCGGACAAGCAAATGACCAACAGCAAAACCAACATGGCAAGCTGTGGCATCTGCTCAGATCCCACCTTGTCAACCGTACTAATATTGGATACATTTCCATACCCCTCATCACTGAAATTCATGTTGTGGATCAACGTAACATCCTCCGCCTGTGTGACATGGTCAAACATAGATACTGTTATCTCCGCCACACTTGTATCGTAATATTCCAAATTATTCCAAAATTTATTTTCCTGAATAGATTCCACACTTTTTGAACACCTGAATTGTTGAAAATACCTGTATTTATTATCACCTGGTGTAGAAACACTTAACACTAACAAGTGTATCCTCTATATACTTGGCCAGTAAGACTTTATAAATGTAGTATTTATGAGACGAGCTAAGGGATAACCCTGAGGTTAGGGAGCACTACCTGTGGGTGACCATCGCAAACACATGGTGATGATGACATCACTTACAGCCTGTCAGATCCGCTGTGGTGGGATAGTGTGTAGGATCAGCCTCAGTAGCTAAGCTTTACACCAATCATCTGGCAGGGGCTGGTCTCCTATACAGCAGCAGTAACAGCAGCCTCTCTCACTATCATCTCATCTAGTATACTAGTGTCCATTCATCAGTGTAAAACTGCTACTACACAGTAGAAAATGTCCATTCACCAATACACTACGTACCACATAGTCCAGAAATAATTCACTGGTATCCACTGTTGTATATATTCAGTGTTGTAGCATAATTCACTTTTGTATTTAATTCACTGTTGTAATTATGCACTGGTATTCACTGTGGTATAAATGCCTTGGTATACACTGGTATAAATTCCTTGGTATTCACTGTGGTATAAATTCCTTGGTATACACTGTGGTATAAATTCCTTGGTATACACTGTGTTATAAATTCCTTGGTATTCACTGTGGTATAAATTCCTTGGTATACACTGTGTTATAAATTCCTTGGTATTCACTGTGGTATAAATGCCTTGGTATTCACTGCGGTATAAATTCCTTGGTATTCACTGTGGTATAAATGCCTTGGTATTCACTGTGGTATAAATTCCTTGGTATTCACTGTGGTATAGATGCCTTGGTATACACTGGTATCAATTCCTTGGTATACACTGTGGTATAAATTCCTTGGTATTCACTGTGGTATAAATGCCTTGGTATTCACTGTGGTATAAATGCCTTGGTATACACTGTGGTATAAATTCCTTGGTATTCACTGTGGTATAAATTCCTTGGTATTCACTGGTACAAATGCCTTGGTATTCACTGTGGTATAAATTCCTTGGTATTCACTGTGGTATAAATTCATTAATATTCACTGTTGTATCTAATTCCCTTATGCACTTTTGTATGAACTTCATTATTTGTAACAGTTACTGACATTCACAGTAAGTCAGTGGTATTCACTGAATATTATGTAGACGTGGTAGTGATGCTACTGTACAGTTATAGAGACAGTGTACTGTTATAACCTTGCTTTAAAGTTGATTCTCTTTACGTTATTCTAGAAAATTTATACAAAATAGAAACTCTACACAGTCACTGTTTGATTATATTGTACATTGTGTTGAAATGAAAAAAAAGGATTTATTAACCATATTTCTTTATATAGTTTCTATACACACATGTCAATATGTTTCAGTTACAGTGTACTATGATGGACTATGTGTAATACAAGGCTTTAGAACATTCCTACAGTAGATCCAGTGGTATGCCCTGACCTGATCGCAGATCTATTGACACTGATTAATTGATGTCTGTACAAAAGTGATGTGTGTGTTGTCTGAAGAGCACTTGCTTATATAATTAACTCTTAGTTAACTCTCCTTTATCATTCTATTAGTGGCCAGGTAAGGTCCTAGACTATGAGTCGACTCTTTTCTATCATCTAATTAGAGGCTAGGTTAGGGACCTTAACTCTGAGTTAACTTCTCCTTATCATATAAATAGTGGCCAGGTTAGGGACCTTAACTCTGAGTTAACTCTTCTTTATCATATAATTAGTATCCAGGTTAGGGACCTTAACTCCTCCTTATCGTATAATTAGTGGCCAGGTTAGGGACCTTAACTCTGAGTTAACTTCTCCTTATCATATAAATAGTGGCCAAGTTAGGGACCTTAACTCCTCCTTATCGTATAATTAGTGGCCAGGTTAGGGACCTTAACTCTGAGTTAACTTCTCCTTATCATATAAATAGTGGCCAGGTTAGGGACCTTAACTCCTCCTTATCGTATAATTAGTGGCCAGGTTAGGGACCTTAACTCTGAGTTAACTTCTCCTTATCATATAAATAGTGGCCAGGTTAGGAACCTTAACTCTGTGTTAACTTCTCCTTATCATATAAATAGTGGCCAAGTTAGGGACCTTAACTCCTCCTTATCGTATAATTAGTGGCCAGGTTAGGGACCTTAACTCTGAGTTAACTTCTCCTTATCATATAAATAGTGGCCAGGTTAGGAACCTTAACTCTGTGTTAACTTCTCCTTATCATATAAATAGTGGCCAAGTTAGGGACCTTAACTCTTCCTAATCATGTAATTAGTGGCCAAGTTAGGGTCCTACACCTGTAGTTATCAGTTTCTCACCTGTCTATGACCTCGACCCTTCTGTCTATAAACATTGATAACAACAGTATGCTGATGTTTGTCGTGCGTAAGTTGGGATTTAATCTAAATCATTGGTTTGGCTATATAGCCTTGAGTATATCAGAACAGCCTACTGTGTATGGTACAATCAGAGAGAGTTTGGCAGACATATCAATATTTTACGAGGTCTGTTCTTTTAACAATTAACAGCAATACTGAACACTTTACCATATCTGTAGAATTGTTCTGGCCTCTGGGCATATACACAAGATGCTAGTAATTTCTGAACGATTTGATTTGCAATCAGATAATTTGTATTTTTCACAGTTCAGACAGGAATTTGGCTCTGTGTTTTTGACCTTTTGTAAGTTATCAGGAGAAAATATTTGAGAATGATAAGTAAGAATGGTGCAGAATTAAAGGGAACCTTTACCAATGTCAGTAAATAAGGGCGGGTTTAAATCTAATCTCCTAATACATCATTAGGTATCTCAGAATCAACAGATTCAAGAATCCACGTACAGGATTCTAAGGTCTGCCATCATGTTGACCCCAAAGCACTGCTAGGTAGTAATTCATGAAGTTTAATTCAATTTAACAATTTCATTCACCTCAGGAAGAAAGTTAAATATAGCATTTAAATTTATAAGATAATCAATTTAGGAATTTAAATTTTTGGTAATTATTAAAACTTTTCATTGCTGATTAGTGATGGAGTTTTTGGGTAAAACGTTTGCTGCATATATTTTCAGTGAGAAAAGCTGTAGAGAGGCATCTGTAGTGTGTATACCTGTTATTTCAGCTGTGGTCTGATATACATTTTCTGATTCCAATCTCCTCATTAATTACTCCTTAGATAGATGGTATGGCTAGTTTTCCAATTACTTGTATTAGCATGATAAACTGAACTGCTCATTTGTATAGTCTCTTTGTATGAAGGATGGGTTGAGGAGTGAGTAGTTATCCAGGCTTATATCTACAGATTCATCAGAAATCCTCCAGTATGTTTGTCTGTGTGTATTACTCCTTAAGTATAGGTATATCTTCCCCATCAGAATTATAACAGCACACACCATTAATTCACACCTAATTTAAAGAGGTGCTCCTCCTTTGAAACATCATCATGAATTCCACACTGGAATTCGATGTAGAATATCACATGATCACTTCCCAGCTATTTAGAGTGTTGTAATTTTTAATTTGAAGATGTTTTAGTTGTTGTTTGGAGTTTCCTTTGAGCTGAATACCTCCGTCCACTAATTAAGTAACTGAGACAGTTTACGCATTCTACTGTCCTCCCCTTAGTCAGATGTGACGACCTTAGGTGAGAGTCATGATGAACCAGAGAAAAACTGGAATCAGAAAGAGGTGCCAACAGGTCCTTCTCCGGCTATACTGTCAAAGTGTCCACAAAGTTGTCTCCCCTGACACACTGTCAATGAGCCCTACGTTCCCTCTTTAGTCACACTGTGTATAAGATGTCCTCACAGTTCCCTTACCAGCCACACTGTCGATTGGGTGACCCCACAGGTCTCCAGCTACACTGTCAATTGGGTGACCCCACAGGATTGTCTCTGGTCACACTGGTAGTAAAGTGTCTCACAGTTCCTCTCCAGCCACACTGTCAATAGGGTGACCCCACAGGATTGTCTCTGGTCACACTGGTAGTAAAGTGTCCCACAGTTCCCTCTCTAGCAACACTGTCAATAAGATGTCCTCAAGGTTCTCACTCCAGCCACACTGTCAGTAAGGTGCCCCAACATTTCCTTCTGTAGCCTCACTGTCAATTGGGTCTCCCCACAGTTTCTTCTTCAGCCACACTGTCAATAAGGTGTCCGCATGGTTCCCTCTCCAGCCACACTGTCAATAAGGTGTCCTCAAGGATTCTTCACTAGGCACACCTGTATACTAACACATCAAACAACCTGTTTCTCTAGCTACATTGACAGGTGTACTTAACCTTGATGTAATGACTGATTTCTCAGGTGAGATACACAGGTAAATCATACTAACAGTAAAGAATTGAATGTACATCTTATCTAATATTGAAATGAAGTGTTAATATATGACAGATGAGCCCTATGTCACGGACTCCCTTTATATAGCAGGTAAACTAGGAGCATCCTAATTGGATTCCCACTTTGACTGTGTCTTAAAGCATGCCAAAAAAAGCATTTGATTAACATATCTCTTTAAAGTTTATTATTGTTAATTTTTACCATTCTAAGTAATTGCTATAGGTGTCAAATTCAGCCTTGCATACATACATCTATGGTAGATGCTATTTTTTTTTTATAAACATATCAGACTTGTAAAACAAGTTATATGATAAAGGATAACACAAAACTGTTTCTGTCTCATGATCCATTCATCAGTTTCCATGAAAATAAAAGTATATACTTATGTATATCTTTAAATCAAAATTTTTATGCAGAATGATGATCACTTATTGGTCAGTAATTAGGGGGTGGGTTGGTCATTGACTGACCAGTGATTAGAAGGTAGGGTGCTTGCATGGTCACTTATTGGTCAGTGATTGGTAGGTATAAGGAAGAGTGGTCACTTATTGGTCAATGATC